TGGGAGATGCGGGAAGAGACTGGACAAAAATCGTGCACCTATGGATGAGGACAGTGGGTGGGGAGTGAGGGCAGAGGGTGGGGCAGGAACTGGGAGGAGGGGAGTTATGGGGGGGGGGAGAGGAACAAATGTAATCTGAACAATAAAGATTTAATAAAAAAAATATCTGTAATCCAATAATCTGAATTTTGAGCACTCCACAGCTTTAAAATGTTGTTGAGGCTATGATTTTTTAAAATTAATTGTTTAAATACATAATTCAGTGGTATTGGTATATTCACAAAGTTGTGCAACCATGCCCTGAATGGGTAGCTCAGTTGGTTAGACTGTCAGCCCAATACGCCAAGTTTGCCAGTTCAATCCCTGGTCAGGGCACACACAAGAATCAACCAAAGAATACATCAATAAGTGGAACAAAAAAATCTATATCGCCTTTCCTCTCTCTGTCTCTCTCTCTCTCTCTCTCTCCCCCTTCTCTCTCTAAAATCAATCAATTATTTAAAAATTTAAAAAGAGGTTGTGCAACTGTCACCAGTATCTAATGCCAGAGCATTTTCATCACTGCCCAAAGAAACTATACATACTATACCAGTCACTCCCCACTCCCTGGCAACCACTAATCTACTTTTGTCTCTAAAATTTGTCTGTTCTGGATATTACATGTAAATGGAATAATAGACTATGTGGTCTATAGTGTCTGATTTCTTTCACTTAGAATAATATTTTCAAGTTTCATCCATTTCATAGCTCATATCAGTACTTTATTTGTTTGTATGGCTAAATAATATTTATTGTGTGAACATAACACATTTTGTTTATCCATTTACCAGATGATGGACATTTGGGGCTATTATGAATAACGTTCTTATGAATATTTACTTACAAGTTTTTATATAAACATAAGTTTTCAATTCTCTTGGGTAAATATCAAAGAGTGGGATTGAGATATCATTTGATAACTCTATTTTTAACTTTTGAGAAACTGCCAAACTTTTTTTCCAAGTTGGTTACACCATTTTACATTCCTACCAGCAAGGTATGAGGGTTCCAACTTCTCCACATTTTTGTCAACACTTGTTATGGTTTATCTTTTTTATTGTAGCCATACTAGTGTGTGTGAACTGGTATCTTCTGTGGTTTTGACTTGCAATTTTGCTAATGACTAATGATGTTAAGCATCTTTCCATGTGCTTATTGGCCATTTGTATATATTCTTTGGAGAAACGTTTATTCAAATCCTTGGCCAGTTTAAAAATTGGGTTATTTGTTTTTTATTGTGGGGATGTAGATACTCTTTATACACTTTGGATACAAGTCTCTTATGAAATATATGATTTGCAAATATTTTCTCCCATTCTGTGAGTTGTCTTTTTACTTCCTTTATGGTGTCCTTTGAAGCCCAAACGTTTTTATTGC